CCGGAGCGGGAACACCTACATAATGTTACACAGGAATGTGTCCAGGCGGGTTTTGAATGTCTCCAAAGATGGAGACTCCACAACCTCCCTGGGCAGCCTGTTCCAATGGCAAGCATAAATAAACACTTCCTACAAGTTTTGAAGTTAAATAAAAGTTCAAATATTCAACTTTAAATTTTGAGCAAGCTTTTAAATAGAACACCCTCTTCCCCACTTCTATACAAAGATAAAGCAGTGGTGTACAAAGCACACAAGTTAAATTGTGTTTGATAACTGGGGAATAGCCTTACTGTCAGTTATCAAACAAATCAGGAGAATAAACATATCTCTATCTTGTAAGATAAGACTAAAACCAAAAATCCACGTTAATCATGATAGAAGTGAAACATCTGAATGCAGAAGCCTCACAGTTATCACTTAAAAGCTTTAAACCCAACTTCCTCTGATCTATTTGCTATTGTAAAGCAAATATCCAAAGAGCACTGACACTTTAACTCTTGGAAAGCAAATAACACATTTACATCAACCACCCCTCCCGCCCTTCCAACACATGGATATGAGAAAGGTCCCAAGCACTCTGTAGTTCCAACACAGTTCCATGTTCAACATTCCTCAGTCAAATCTCTAAACACCTGAGGTGCCAGTTTATAGTGAACAAAAATTAATGAATAAAAACTCTTCTGAGTTCTTACACTCTGCAAAAGAGATCAGAGAAGGAATTTACACTGGGCTAAATCCAAAGTTTAATCTAGCTTTCTTAGGATGTTCTCACCAAGAATATGTTCTCTGGGACACATTTTTAGAATGAAAAGCTACTTGGTTGAAAACAAACGGCTTTACTTTTTATGATGAAAGAGAAATGATGATTGTTGAGTTACACTGTAATACTCTCTTTATGCTGTGTCTGTAGGCTCGTATCTTTAACGAGACCCCTATAAATCCACGAAGATGTCTGCACATCCTTACCAAAATCCTTTACTTGCTGAACCAGGTAAGTGTTATCATTTCTTCCCAGCCAGAATGAATATTCCCAAGGCTAATATAAGGAAGAAGTTCTTTACTGTGAGGGTGATGAGGCCAGAGAAGTGGTGAATGTTCCATCCTTGGCAGTGTTCAAGGCCAGGTTGCACAGAGCCTTGAGAGACATGTCTAGTGTGAGGTGTCCCTGCCTTTGGCAAGGGGTTGGAACTGGATGAGCTTAAGGTCCTTTCAAAGCCAAGCCATTCTGTGATGCTGTGATTCTAATTTCTGATAGCTTTCAGTGTGAAAGAAGTTTTGTACCTCTTCCTGACAGATTTGGGAGGTAGCTTTTTAAGGAGATCCAGAATGGGGTGTTTATGCTTTAGTATTATGTTCTTCCCTCTGACTTGCTGCTAACTGGAGTGAGATACATATCACTGAAGCATTTAATACTTTTTCCATGAGTGCCAAGTGAGAGCTGCTGCTTGATCTGTGGCCATCACAGCCCTGTGCAATGAAAGAGACACTTGTGTTTGCCCAGCTAAAGTGGGAATGGCTGAGACGAAGTGAAAACATAGGCCAAGAAGTGATGAGGTAGAAGGGTGTCTTTTTGTCTGGGGCTAAATTAGAAGCATGATAAGAAAGATTTTCTTCAGATGTTTATGTAGATCAGGTTTCGTGTGTGTCAGGTTGTATTTAACATCAAAGTAGGTTGGACCTCTGCTGTTCAGTCTTAATTCAGGCAGCAAGTAGATCCCTTTTAGGTAAGACAAAACCAAGGATGCCAGAAAAGGGAGCACAGGCTACTTAACAAACTGTTCCATTGCTGTACAGCTATGGATGGCATTTGTTGAAACCAAGTAGCTAGTAGTGGTAAATTTGACAGGTACTCCTCAGGAAACACGAGGTGAGGGAGGGATGGTTTCTAACATGAGAAAAAGCCTCAAAGCAAAGATCCTTGGTGTGTGGGTAGGTGTTAAAAATGGAGGCTGGAGGGAAGGAATGCCATGCAGAGGGACCTCGACATGCTTGTGAGGTGGGCTGATGCCAACCTCATGAAGTTTAAGCATGCCAAGTGCAAGGTCCTACAGCTGGGTCAGACCAATCCCAGGCACAGCTACAGGTTGGGCAGAGAAGAGATTCAGAGCAGCCCTGCGGAGAAGGACTTGGGGGTGTTGGTTTCATGTTCTTTTTATGTTGAGTAAACCAGAACTGCACACAGTACTCCAGGTGAGGTCTCACAAGAATGATTTCATTATTTTTGTTGTTTTTTTCCTTCTTTTACCGGTCTTTCTTTTCTCCGTTCCCTTTTCTTCTTGTCAAGGAAAAAAACAGGGAGGAGAAAAGTGCATCCCTGACTGCCCAGTGGCCATGGGCACGATGCTGCCGCTGTCACAAAGCTTCAGTGGTTGCTGTGGAGTTGCCCATGAGGAGCTGGGACCCTTTGGAACTGGTGAGGGCATCGGCGTCTCCGTGGAAACCACGGGGGCATTGTTACGACTCTTATGTGGGGTATTTAAGGCCCTGGCGCACCCTAGAGGTGGCAGTTGCCCTGTGAATCCACAGCAAGTCTGCATCCGAGGACACAGAAGATGCCAGTGGACAAGGGATCGAACGCCCGCTCCCAGCCTGCCGAGGGCAGGCCAGGAGTGCAAAGGAGGCGCCAGGTGAGGGCTGGGGCAGGAGTGAGAGGCCGGTGGTGGGACGGGGCCACATGGAGCTGCCTCGGGGCCGGGGCCGGGCTTGCCGGCACTGCGGGGGCTGCTGTGCCAAGGCAGCCGCCTCCATCACACACCTCTTCCTCCTCCTCCTGCCCGCAGGTGGGCCACAGGCCACAGCCTGAGGAAGGGCGGCGTGGGATCACGGTACCACAGCTGCCCTACCAACGAAGGTATCAGCCCATCGAGACCCAGCAGGAACAGGTAGGGACCCCGAGGGAGACAGGGCCAAACACCTTCCCAACCACGGGCATGCCGGGGCTGCTGTGGGCTGGGGCCATGGCCGGCGGGTGGCCAGCCCTTTCCCCAGCCAGCTCTGGGAGCAGGCAGCAGCCACCTGTGGGCCTGAGCCTTGCCGTGGGGCTGGCAGGGGAGCCCAACTGCATGAGCTCCCAACAGCTGGGATACGGGCGCAAGAGACACTATCACAGAGCCTCTCTCCTCGACTTCTCTTGCAGGTGGGCAGCGTGAGGTGCAGAGCGGTGCTGCCCCGCAGCATGAGGACAGAGGAGCAGACACTTCCTCGGCCAGTGGTGGTGGAAAGGACACCTCGGCCGACACCTCGGCCAGTGAGAGAAGCCAGCAGGCTGCCTCGCCCGACATGGGCACCCTCTGCCCCTGCAGCCAGATTCACTGACATGGCCATCGGCAGGACAAGCAACAGCCAAAAGCAGCTTTGCACAACCGCTGCCCAGCAGCACCACATCCCCGCACATGGCAGCACAGTTGCGAGGCCACGGAGCTGGCAGCCTGCCCCACACAGGCCCACAGCCTGTGCCACAGCGCAGGGCACAAGAAATGTGAGCGCGGTCCTGCGCAACAACAGCGCTGAGAGCCGGGGACCCTACCAGCAGGCAGTGGCATGCCAGGACCCAGCATACAGCAGGGCTGCAATGACAAGAAGATACACTGTCAGGGCACCTAACGGCAGCAAAGCCACCGCCACTCAGCCTGCTCCTGATCCTAACACCCGTGCGAGCACTGCTGCTTCCCAGAGCAGGAAGACGGGGCGAGAGGGCAGCCTCAATGACAAGTTGCTGGGGCTGCACAAGAAGGTTCTTGCAAAGCCTCTGCCCGCCCTGCGCAGCAACATCGAGGCTTTGCAACACGCCAGGAGGAGCCGCTTGGCCAGAGCTCCTGAGGAAGAGGAGTACCAGGCACCTCTCGTTCCCATGGCACCAGCACCAGCATCTCGTGGCTTTAGCAGGCAGGCTGCTGCAGCACAAGCCCAGCGCCAGGCACCTGCCATGAACAGCTCAGCAGAAAATGACGCAGATCTGAATTTCCCATCCAGGTGCGTCAAGAAGCTTCCTTTCAGAGCTGGTGTCGAGGTGATAGAGGCACCAGCCTCTCCCGCCATCGGCAGGCAGGCTGCAGCAGGACGAGCACAGGGCCGGGCACCTGCCCCGCACAGCCACAAAGAAAGCAACATGGATATGAAGGTCACACCCAAGAGCATCCTCAGGAAGGTCCATTTCAGAGATGCTGTTGAGGAGGAGGCAGAGACCGCAGCCTCTTGTGGCTTTGACAGTCAAGCTCTGGCAGCAGAAGCACAGTGCAATGCACCTGCCTCCGACAGCATCATAGTAAGAGATGCAAAAGTGCGTGTCACACCCAGTGTCGGTGCAAGCTCCCAGTTCTGGAATATGATCGAGGAGGAGGCAGAGGAAACAGATTCTTCTCACAATGGTGATGAGGAGGCAGCACCGGAGGCAGCACCAGAGGCAGAGAGTCAGGCATCTGTCCTGCTCAGCCCAGATGCCTGTGAGTTGGTTCCACAGGGAGCAGCCCTGCTCAGCACAAGGGAGCCTCTGGTCCAGGCTGTGGCAGTGGATCAGGAAACCAGCCAGCAGCTGCTGGAACCTCAGGGCATGACCCAAATGCTGGATGCGGCAGTGGACAAAGAGGAGAAAGAGTGGGTAGAGGACATTGATAAAGTGCTGTCCCAAGTGGAAGAGATCATCATACGCAACCTCTGGGTCAACCCCTCGGTCCCAGAGCTCTTCCAGGACCCCCAGGCCGATATCCAGGAGGGGTCTGACTTCCCCAGCAGCATGGACATTGAAGTGACAGGGGAGGCAGGTGGAGACCTGCAGAACACGTCTCCTATCCCAGCCGGACCCACAGCCACTGAGTCGACAGCTTCTACATTAGCTGCATCTGCGGAGGAAGAGGAGCACCGCGCACGTCTCACTCCAGTGGCACAGGAGGAGGTGGAACCGGCACCAGTTTCTCCTGCCTGCGTCGAGCAGGAGGCAGCACCACAGGCACAGAGGCAGGTACCTGCCCTGCTCAGCCCTGATGCCTGTGAGGTGGTTGTAGAAGAAACGGCCAGGACCATCTCTGAAGAGGTCCTGATCATGAGCCTGGCCGTTGTCCAGGGAGCCAGCCAGCAGCTGGCGGAACATCGGGACATGTCCCAAAACTCAGATGAGGCAATGGCACTAATGGCATCTGTGTGGACTGGGGACACTGAGTCTCCTGTGTGTGGAGACCATCAAGGAGAGGCTGAAACAGCCATTGTCTTGCCAGAAACACAGAGAGAGGAAGTGGCAGCTTCATGGCCTGAGATGCCTGTGCCAGAGGCTGGAGCATGCCACTCTGCCCCAGAAGCAGCCAACGAAGGAGAAGCAGGAGCTTCTGCCTTTGATCGTGAATCTGGGCACCCGGTGAGCGAGGCACATATGGCTGGCACCGGAGATACTGTGGAGATTCAAGCAGGAGTCTCGCATGGGCTACCTGTGGCAGAGAGATTCCTGCTGCTCCCTATGCCAGAGCCTCTGGAGGAGCCGGAGAGGAGCAGCATGGCCCACACCAGTCACAGGCTCGACATGCAAAGGAGAGCCAGCCTGCCTTGGCTGCTGGGCAGCTCTGTGGAAAGGGAGCTCCAGCAGCAGGAGGGCCAGAGGCCTCGTTTCGCCTTGCGGCGGGGACGGATGCCCAGTCACAGGCAGGTGAGTGCCAAGGACAGGATGGGACAGGACAGCGGGATGAGCCTTCCTCTGCCTGTGGCCAGCCACTGCTCCCTCAACTCATTTTCTGCATCCCTGTTGTGTGTTTACAGGAAGCGCCAGGGACCTTGGGCGAGGAAGCTGACGATGAGGAGTTGGACGGAAAGGAAGAAGAGGAATGGGAAGAGGCCATGGACAAAGAGCTTTCTGAAGTGGAAGAGATCACCATACGCAACCTCTGGGTCAACCTCTCAGTCCCAGACCACTTCCAGGACACCCATGCAGATCCCCAGGAGGGATCCAGCTGCCCCACCAGCATGGGCATGGACGCAACAGGAGAGGGAACCAGCCAACAGCTGGTGGAGTATCAGGACATGACCCAAATCCTGAGTGTGTCAATGGCAGCACTGACGCCTGCAGCACCTGAGCACGTTGAGTCTGCTGTGGCTTCGGAGCCTCAGGGAGAGGCCAGTGCAGCCGCTGCCTCCCCAACAGTGCCTGAGGATGAAGTGGCTGCTTTCTTGACTGAGATCCCTGCAACAGAGCCTGGAACATCCCACATTCCTCCAGGAGCAGATGATAGTGGAGATGCAGCAGCTTCTCCCTTGTGTCGGGACTCTCGGCGCCAGGTGAGTGAGGCGCGTGTGGTTGGCACCGGGGATCCCAAGGCCTTGGACGGCAGCTCCCAGGTTTTGTGACAGGGCTATTTCTGGTGCTGCCTGTGTCATCCCACTGACATTGCCCCCATCCCCTGCCTGTGCTCTTGCTACCCTGCAGGGTAGGCTCAGACGCTTTGTGAGGAAACACCTGGGCAAGGCTGTGACTGTCATCCAGGGAACAAGGCAGCAGCAGGTGAAAGAGCCAGACGTGGCACAAAGCTTGGATGTGGAGTCACCGTCAACGTCGCCTGCTGTAGTTCAGGACAGCGAGAACCAGCCAGGTACTTGCCCGAGTTGGGTGGCACCCAGGCCAGACCGGCAGCAGTGTTTGCGTGAGTTCGGGTGTGTCCCAGCCTCCCCTCCATGGGCCGAAGGCTGCGTGGAGACCTCCTAGCAGACCTTCCAGTATCTGAAGGAGGCCAATGAGGATGCTGTTAAGGAGAAGTTCTTTACTGTAAGGGTGGTGAGGCACTGGAACGGGTTGCCAAAGGAAGTCCCTTGCCTACAGCTCTTCTTCCTCCACAGGCATTGCCACTCTTCCAGACCAAGGAGCGGCCCCACGGCGACGACTCTCCCGCTTCAGGAGAGTGCTGAGGGCTCTGCGCAAGGCTTTCACTTGCTCATGCCTCACCCCACGTGTGGAGGAGTAGCGCCCTGCTGCCAGCGCCAGGCCCAAGGCAGCTGTGCTGAGGATGTCATGCTGCAGCCTGCACTTGTTGTGGCTGCTTTCTTGGGCCAATAAATAATAACTCGTTTCCCCCCCCACTGCTCGTCTCTGCCTGTATGTTGGTTAGAGCATGTTTGTGTAATTCACGGACCTCTATATTTAATTAACGTAAAACAACTGACTTCAATCTAAGCGGCTACCTATCTGTTGCAATTAGTTCTAGTTTACACACAGTATGCTAGAGATTGGAAGAGACCTCAAAAGATCATCTCGTCCAGTCCCGCTTCCGGAGCGGGAACACCTACATAATGTTACACAGGAATGTGTCCAGGCGGGTTTTGAATGTCTCCAAAGATGGAGACTCCACAACCTCCCTGGGCAGCCTGTTCCAATGGCAAGCATAAATAAACACTTCCTACAAGTTTTGAAGTTAAATAAAAGTTCAAATATTCAACTTTAAATTTTGAGCAAGCTTTTAAATAGAACACCCTCTTCCCCACTTCTATACAAAGATAAAGCAGTGGTGTACAAAGCACACAAGTTAAATTGTGTTTGATAACTGGGGAATAGCCTTACTGTCAGTTATCAAACAAATCAGGAGAATAAACATATCTCTATCTTGTAAGATAAGACTAAAACCAAAAATCCACGTTAATCATGATAGAAGTGAAACATCTGAATGCAGAAGCCTCACAGTTATCACTTAAAAGCTTTAAACCCAACTTCCTCTGATCTATTTGCTATTGTAAAGCAAATATCCAAAGAGCACTGACACTTTAACTCTTGGAAAGCAAATAACACATTTACATCAACCACCCCTCCCGCCCTTCCAACACATGGATATGAGAAAGGTCCCAAGCACTCTGTAGTTCCAACACAGTTCCATGTTCAACATTCCTCAGTCAAATCTCTAAACACCTGAGGTGCCAGTTTATAGTGAACAAAAATTAATGAATAAAAACTCTTCTGAGTTCTTACACTCTGCAAAAGAGATCAGAGAAGGAATTTACACTGGGCTAAATCCAAAGTTTAATCTAGCTTTCTTAGGATGTTCTCACCAAGAATATGTTCTCTGGGACACATTTTTAGAATGAAAAGCTACTTGGTTGAAAACAAACGGCTTTACTTTTTATGATGAAAGAGAAATGATGATTGTTGAGTTACACTGTAATACTCTCTTTATGCTGTGTCTGTAGGCTCGTATCTTTAACGAGACCCCTATAAATCCACGAAGATGTCTGCACATCCTTACCAAAATCCTTTACTTGCTGAACCAGGTAAGTGCTATCATTTCTTCCCAGCCAGAATGAATATTCCCAAGGCTAATATAAGGAAGAAGTTCTTTACTGTGAGGGTGATGAGGCCAGAGAAGTGGTGAATGTTCCATCCTTGGCAGTGTTCAAGGCCAGGTTGCACAGAGCCTTGAGAGACATGTCTAGTGTGAGGTGTCCCTGCCTTTGGCAAGGGGTTGGAACTGGATGAGCTTAAGGTCCTTTCAAAGCCAAGCCATTCTGTGATGCTGTGATTCTAATTTCTGATAGCTTTCAGTGTGAAAGAAGTTTTGTACCTCTTCCTGACAGATTTGGGAGGTAGCTTTTTAAGGAGATCCAGAATGGGGTGTTTATGCTTTAGTATTATGTTCTTCCCTCTGACTTGCTGCTAACTGGAGTGAGATACATATCACTGAAGCTTTTAATACTTTTTCCATGAGTGCCAAGTGAGAGCTGCTGCTTGATCTGTGGCCATCACAGCCCTGTGCAATGAAAGAGACACTTGTGTTTGCCCAGCTAAAGTGGGAATGGCTGAGACGAAGTGAAAACATAGGCCAAGAAGTGATGAGGTAGAAGGGTGTCTTTTTGTCTGGGGCTAAATTAGAAGCATGATAAGAAAGATTTTCTTCAGATGTTTATGTAGATCAGGTTTCGTGTGTGTCAGGTTGTATTTAACATCAAAGTAGGTTGGACCTCTGCTGTTCAGTCTTAATTCAGGCAGCAAGTAGATCCCTTTTAGGTAAGACAAAACCAAGGATGCCAGAAAAGGGAGCACAGGCTACTTAACAAACTGTTCCATTGCTGTACAGCTATGGATGGCATTTGTTGAAACCAAGTAGCTAGTAGTGGTAAATTTGACAGGTACTCCTCAGGAAACACGAGGTGAGGGAGGGATGGTTTCTAACATGAGAAAAAGCCTCAAAGCAAAGATCCTTGGTGTGTGGGTAGGTGTTAAAAATGGAGGCTGGAGGGAAGGAATGCCATGCAGAGGGACCTCGACATGCTTGTGAGGTGGGCTGATGCCAACCTCATGAAGTTTAAGCATGCCAAGTGCAAGGTCCTACAGCTGGGTCAGACCAATCCCAGGCACAGCTAGAGGTTGGGCAGAGAAGAGATTCAGAGCAGCCCTGCGGAGAAGGACTTGGGGGTGTTGGTTTCATGTTCTTTTTATGTTGAGTAAACCAGAACTGCACACAGTACTCCAGGTGAGGTCTCACAAGAATGATTTCATTATTTTTGTTGTTTTTTTCCTTCTTTTACCGGTCTTTCTTTTCTCCGTTCCCTTTTCTTCTTGTCAAGGAAAAAAACAGGGAGGAGAAAAGTGCATCCCTGACTGCCCAGTGGCCATGGGCACGATGCTGCCGCTGTCACAAAGCTTCAGTGGTTGCTGTGGAGTTGCCCATGAGGAGCTGGGACCCTTTGGAACTGGTGAGGGCATCGGCGTCTCCGTGGAAACCACGGGGGCATTGTTACGACTCTTATGTGGGGTATTTAAGGCCCTGGCGCACCCTAGAGGTGGCAGTTGCCCTGTGAATCCACAGCAAGTCTGCATCCGAGGACACAGAAGATGCCAGTGGACAAGGGATCGAACGCCCGCTCCCAGCCTGCCGAGGGCAGGCCAGGAGTGCAAAGGAGGCGCCAGGTGAGGGCTGGGGCAGGAGTGAGAGGCCGGTGGTGGGACGGGGCCACATGGAGCTGCCTCGGGGCCGGGGCCGGGCTTGCCGGCACTGCGGGGGCTGCTGTGCCAAGGCAGCCGCCTCCATCACACACCTCTTCCTCCTCCTCCTGCCCGCAGGTGGGCCACAGGCCACAGCCTGAGGAAGGGCGGCGTGGGATCACGGTACCACAGCTGCCCTACCAACGAAGGTATCAGCCCATCGAGACCCAGCAGGAACAGGTAGGGACCCCGAGGGAGACAGGGCCAAACACCTTCCCAACCACGGGCATGCCGGGGCTGCTGTGGGCTGGGGCCATGGCCGGCGGGTGGCCAGCCCTTTCCCCAGCCAGCTCTGGGAGCAGGCAGCAGCCACCTGTGGGCCTGAGCCTTGCCGTGGGGCTGGCAGGGGAGCCCAACTGCATGAGCTCCCAACAGCTGGGATACGGGCGCAAGAGACACTATCACAGAGCCTCTCTCCTCGACTTCTCTTGCAGGTGGGCAGCGTGAGGTGCAGAGCGGTGCTGCCCCGCAGCATGAGGACAGAGGAGCAGACACTTCCTCGGCCAGTGGTGGTGGAAAGGACACCTCGGCCGCCACCTCGGCCAGTGAGAGAAGCCAGCAGGCTGCCTCGCCCGACATGGGCACCCTCTGCCCCTGCAGCCAGATTCACTGACATGGCCATCGGCAGGACAAGCAACAGCCAAAAGCAGCTTTGCACAACCGCTGCCCAGCAGCACCACATCCCCGCACATGGCAGCACTGTTGCGAGGCCACGGAGCTGGCAGCCTGCCCCACACAGGCCCACAGCCTGTGCCACAGCGCAGGGCACAAGAAATGTGAGCGCGGTCCTGCGCAACAACAGCGCTGAGAGCCGGGGACCCTACCAGCAGGCAGTGGCATGCCAGGACCCAGCATACAGCAGGGCTGCAATGACAAGAAGATACACTGTCAGGGCACCTAACGGCAGCAAAGCCACCGCCACTCAGCCTGCTCCTCATCCTAACACCCGTGCGAGCACTGCTGCTTCCCAGAGCAGGAAGACGGGGCGAGAGGGCAGCCTCAATGACAAGTTGCTGGGGCTGCACAAGAAGGTTCTTGCAAAGCCTCTGCCCGCCCTGCGCAGCAACATCGAGGCT